CTGAGCTGCCGCCAGGATCGCCTGAGGGAGGTCATGCAAGAGGGCTCGAACTTCGATCTGGCAGCACTGACGGGGACACAGAGGACGAGGAATGGAGTAGAGGCACTCAAGGGACATGAAGAAGATGCGGAGTACGTTGATGCGGGATGGGGGGACACAGTTCTCGAACAAGTCCGCGGGGGTCCTGATTGCCTGGGGAGGCTTCCTGGGAAAAGCGTTGCTGCTAGACGTGCAAGAACCTCCTGGGGATGGGGCGGGGCCTAGCACTCACGCTGAATATTAAGAAGTATGTCATACAGTCTGTCGCCGTGAACCACCCGCCGGAACCGAAGACCAGCGCAGCGAGAAGAGAATATCATCCTGTGGGTAAGCACACAATTTCCTCGACACAGTCGCTGCTGGGAAAACAAATACGCTGGCGCTTGTCTGGGGGATGTGAATGATGGCATGGGGACAAACGCCAGAGGGGCGTCTTGATAGTCTAGCTATGGGCCCTGAGGTCGCACCATAATGATTACCAAGGGAAGCTGGGCAGCATCTTCGGGGGATGGCAGAGGCAGCAAACATGTCGCTCACGAGCGCACTACGACAGAGTAGGCCGACATACCTCGGGGACAAGGGCGTCTCGTGCATAGACTACATCCAGGCATACCGGGAAGGATGCTCGAGTATCCAGATTTACGGTCCGTTGATGAGAATGGGAAGCAGACTACAGCATATAACCAGCAGGGAACACAATGATCACGTGCCTGTACATGCAGCATTCCACCTTTGTACACGTTTTGGGACGCAGAATAAGAAACACAAACCAGAGCGTTGGGACCGAGACGCTCTAGTCCCGTTTACACACGGCGTGGGAATAACCAAGTTTGTGGAGGCACTGAACCAAGCGGTTTCAGACGCGACGGACTTGCGCACAGAGCCAGATGCGGACACATATTTTCAGATTTTGAATGCGATCTTGCCGGGGGTCTCCAGGAAGCAGGTCAAGGCCAGAGGAGTCAAATATCATATGTCTGCGAAGTTGAACGATGAAAGAACGGAACTACTTCGGCGACGTCGGGACCTAAGAGAAGAATTGCATGCGGCATCATGCACAGGAGAAGGATTCGCAGTTTGCATTCATCCAGAGTGCGTGAGAAGGAACACGCATGCGACAGAGAAACAGGAGAAGCTACATATATTTCGGACCGCGCGGCCCAGATAGAAGCAGAGCTCAGAGAACTGTCGAGAAAATGCGCAATGCACAGACGCGCGCTGGGCAGAGCCATGACGGAGCATCGCATCGAGGAGTTGTGGGAGGCGCCAGAGAGCAGGGACCCTGCAACGGTGGGGCGATTATCCAGGATGGTCGCAGGAGGAAGGCATGGGCCGCGCAAGAGAGATTTTTGGACAGTGACGACGTCACAGCCGACGGCGAAAGAGTGGGCTGATTTCTGGCGTAAACCTGGTGGTGCGCGTGGGTGGGCGGGTGGTGGGGGGGCTGGGAGAAGAAACGGGCCCCAGGAATATCGCCATATACGAGTGCTACAGCGAACGCAGAGCCGAGAGGGATATCGAGGATAGCAGCGAGAAGGAGCTGGAGATTCCAGAGAGCTAATCTGAGGAGAGCGGTGCCATCTACATCGGCCCCGAGTGAAGTTTGGCGAATGATGCTCGCGCTGTCGGCGCAAAAGAATGCGCCGCATGGGCTAGGATGCGATGCCTGGATAGTACTTCGGACGGCTTTGCTTCATGGCCTTGCCATGCTCAGAGTGGGGGATCGCGCGCCAGTGCGCTGGCGCTGCAGCGCGCCGGCAGCGGAAATAACATGTCAAGACCTGGGCCTGCTGGCGAAGGGGTCTTTCATATACTGGTCCCGCCGGGGAAGGCTTTTGCGCGGCTGGACTGGCAAGGGCGAGGGCGAGAGAATATGCCGATCATGATGATATGGACTTATCAGAGGCAGACGACCAGCAGGAGCGGTGCTGACGGCGGCGGCGATCGAGTACCGAGTGCGTAGCAGCGGGCGCTGTGTTCTGACAGCAATGAAAGCTATGAGGAATGAATTCGCCACTTGTTCTTGGATGGGAATGGATGCAGCAAACTTCAAGACCCTACCCGGGGCAATGCGGCACCTGGGAGAGCAGCGATGCAATTGAGCCAGCTTTCAGGTGCCCTGCCGAGGCTCAAGAGATGAATTTAATTGCTACCCCAAATGTGGAGGGCTGATTGGCGACCCCGTACATGGCGCATAATTTCGCGGCTTCATTCAGTCCAGGAGTTAGCGATTTGATTGAGGACTCGCAAAAAAGCTCGCGCGCGATCATCTGCTGCGGGGCCAGTTCATTATTCGAGGGGCCGATCTACGGCGAAACCGCGACGACCTGGGGCAACTGCTGCTCGGGCTGCGCGAGCCTGACCAACGGCGTCTCGCTTTGGAGGCACGGCTAGCGGATGACCTGCTAGACCAGAGGCCGCGCCAGATCGGCCCCCAGCAAAGCTTTGGAAGACAGGGGGATGTCGCTTTGTTTCGAGGGGCAGGGGCAGCCCAAACACGTGGAGACATAAAGAAGTTCGGTATCCCTGGGGAGCTTCTACCGCCGGCGAGACACCCGGCGCCCTTCGTGGATCCGGAGCAAAGCTATTCGAGCGAGCTGAGCGAGCGCCTGACGACCATGAACAATCCTACAAAGAATAGGGGGCGTTTTGGTGCAGAGCGGGGATCCCCCATGCTCTGTGCCCCTCAATAGTTCTGAGTCCCCGGACTGCAGGTGCCCTCCAGACAACAGGCGCCCCCCCCCCGGACTGCAGGCACCCCTCCCCTGGACAACAGGCGCCCCCCCCCCCAGACTACTGGCGCCCCGCCCCCCGGACTACAGGCGCTCCCCCAGGACTGCGTCCGCGCGTGCGTTGACGCGTGAACACGCGCTCCCCCGGACTGCAGGTGCCCCACCCCGGACTGCAGGCACCCTTCCCCTGGACTAGAGGTACACCACCCCGGACTGCTGGTACCCCCTGCCCCCGACTACAGGTGCCCCTCCCCTGGATTACAGGTGCCCCCCCCCCCCCCCCCCCAGACTACAGGTATCCCCGGAACTGTCGAGGGGCGCAGAGTGCATGGGAATGTGCCATGTCGGTACGTCGGGAAGTTAACGCGGGCCTCACTTGCATCGAGCGCGACGTCCCTGCCCATGCAGAGTGCGAGAGGCTGCTCTGAGCGGTGGGATGTCTACTCAGGAGCACCTCACCCCGAACATGAATCTAAAGTCCGTAGGTTAAGCTGGGCAAAACCTATCCCCAGCAGGCCGCAGCGTGACAAACAGTTGTTCGTGGCCCTGTTCGGGGCCCTGAACTTCGGCGGGCGTCGACGCAGCCGCGGGCCCCGGCGGGTAGCGATGAGAATGTGGGCACGGGCCCGCTGGGGCTACCTCATCTGGTGGCGTGGCAGGAGGTAGTGCAAAAGATGGGGCAAGATACCACAGGCGAGCCCCAACAGGCACCCCAGACATATTACAAAGAGGTCGTGATGTTGCCAGGTGTGGACGCCCTGGGCGCGCTTGTTTCAATTTTAAGGGTGAAACGCAACAGAGGCAAGGCCGCTCAGGGAAAGGAGAAATCCAGGATGCAGTTTTGTTCTCATCCAGAGTACGTGATGATCAGTGACATCCTCGTCGCATCACTCACGAAGGGCAAACGCGGAACGGCACCGAGGGGGGGGCCTTGCAGAGAGACATCAGTCGGCTTCTGAAGTGGGCAACGTGAGGGTTGTAGGCGGCAGCGCGACTCTCCCTTTCCCCATTCCACTTGCTTTTGCAGACAGTACCCTTTTTAGGGAACGCGCTCGTGCAGGTAGACTCCCCGCTCCCAGGCCCCCTCTAAATGCTGTGACAGGGTTCGTTTTTTGGCTCCCAGCCAGTGTCTAATTCACCGACCCCCCGAGCCGAGGCCCGAAGGGCAGGGGGAGACGTGGCGGGGGGAAGGGCAAGGGCCGTGGGGCAAGAAGAGGTGGCAGTCAATTGTTTGTGAGCAAGTGCTACTCCGCCGAGCGTCCCCTGCGTGGGGACGAGGTGCGGTTGGGCCAGATCGCTATTTGGCGACAGCAGGCCCTCGAAGCGAAGGGACAGATTACCACGTAGTCTTAGCGAGATCCCGAAGGAGGCTCTGTGACGAGGCGCTGGGCTCGTGTGGTCGATTCAGTGGGGATCCGAGGCTGGTTCAGGTTCAGGTTCTTCCTCCTCCTCCTCCTCCTCTTGCGCCTCCTCCTCCTCCTCCTCCTCCTCCTCCTCCTCCTCCTCCTCCTCCTCCTCCTCCTCCTCCTCCTCCTCCTCCTCCTCCCCCCCCTCCTCCTCCTGACGCCGTCACCCTCACCGCCAAGGGCTCAGGCGTCAGAGCGCACTTCACCGCCATCGTCACTGCTGGACGTGTTGGAGCGCACCGTTTCGCGCCGGTCGCTGGGTCAGGAGTTAGGGCGCGCAGCGTTGCCACAGTTGTGTGGGCGGGCGGCGGACTGGGAAGCGGGGCGAGACCCGCCTGTGGTTTTCCAGGACATCACCGCGTGGACCGCTCCTGGGAGTCAGGGGGCGTTCGCTGCTCTTCCTCCTGTTTCTTCTCACTCTTCTCTCCTGCTGGTCCCCTCTCTCTCTATTTCTCTTCCTCCTCCTCATTATCCCTCTTTCTGCTGCTGCTCCTCCTCCTCCTCCTCTTCCCTCCTCTTCCTCTCAACAGTCTCTAGCAAAACGTCGTCGTTGTCGTCGTCGTGCCCTTCCATCCTTCCTCCTTCATCGCTCTCCTTGCATTACCGTCCGTCGCCGCGCCCAGGTCGGCAACGAGTCCACCCAGCCGAGCGTCGTGCTGGCCTGCGGTGGCCACGCGCTGGGCCACACCGACGCCGCCAGCTGCACCAAGGAGTCGCTGGCCGATAGGCTCGGGGTCATCGTCGCCGCCTCTGCCATCGTTGTGGGAGGAGGAGGGTTGGCCACGCAAGTGTGACGTGCCACGAGGATGACGTTTTCGGAAGTTTCCGTCGATACCTAGAGGATCTCATGCCTCGGGATGCGCCTCGCCGAGATGTGTCCAGGGGTGCTTGGATCGTCCCGAATTGCCCCCGCAGAGCTGAGTTCTGACTTGGAAACCGAGACAAGTCAGGAGGAGGGGGGCCCTGAGATCCAGGCGCTGCAATTTCTTCACACCGGGCGTTTTCTCCCGGTCGCGGGCCCCAGGGCCATCACAGGTCGATCCGGCTGGAAACGCGCCGCGGAAAGATGGGGTCTTGGACTTCATGTGCGTTTTTTGGTTTTCTGTTTTTCCCAACCCTCCTTTGTGAGGTATTCGTTTTGAATAGAGCAGTGCGGTCGCGTCCTCTCCTCTTCCCGCCTCCTGCCTCTCGCCCCCCCTACTTCCTGTCTCCTCTTGCCTTGTGCGTAATTGTTGCTTCTGTGTGCATGTTGCCTGCGGTACCTGTCTCCGACCTCGCCATCCCTGGGGGGCTGCTTTCTGCGAAACTGTCGCCACTTTCGAGGGCTGCTGGGGGGACAGCATAGTGGGTAGCCGCCGCGGACCCAAATTTGACCTCGCCATCTCTGGGGGCTGCGATTTGCAAAACTGTCGCCACTTTCGAGGGCTGCTTGGGGCGCAGCATAGTGGGTGGTAGCCGCCGCAGATCAAAATTCGACCTCGCCATCCCTGGGGGCCTGCGATTTGCGAAACTGTCGCCGCTTTTGAAGGCTGCTCGGGGGGCCAGCATAGTGGGTAGCCGCCGCAGGCCCAGATTAGACCTCGCCATCTCTAGGGGGCTGCGATCTGCGAAACCGTCGCCACTTTCGAGGGCTGCTTGGGGGGCCAGCATAGTGGTGGCCGCCGCAGATCAAAATTCGACCTCGCCATCCCTGGGGGGCTGCGATCTGCGAAACCGTCGCCACTTTCGAGGGCTGCTTGGGGGGCCAGCGTAGCGATCTGCGAAACTGTCACCACTTTCGAGGGCTGCTGGTGGGTCCAGCGGAGTGAGGCAGCGCGCAGATCTGAGCGAGACCTCGCCGTCCTTGGGGGGCTGCGATCTGCGAAACCGTCGCCACTTTCAAGGGCTGCTGGCGGGTCCAGCAGAATGAGGCACCGCGTAGATCTGAGCGGGACCTCGCATTCCCTGGGGGGCTGCGAGCCTCACGAATGCCGCTCGCAGAAGTATATGCGCCCATGTCACGTCATCACCTCCGTATAACGTCTCCAAAGCTACTTATGTCCCGCCTTGCGCAGGGGTTGGGTACGTCGCCAGGGTAATTCTGTCCCCTGCTCCCCCTCCCCCCGATTTTTCCTAATATCCAAAGTGGGGTTCTCGTCTTCTCTGTACTCGCCCCGCGCAGGACCTCCTCCTCCTCCTCCTCATCCTTCTCTTCTTCCTCCTCCTTCTCCTCCTCCCGTTCCTCTTGCTCACTCACACACTCCGACCCACGGAATCCTCCTCCTCCTCCTCCTCATCATCACCATCACCATCACCATCACCATCACCATCATCATCATCATCATCATCATCATCATCAACAGCAGCATCATCATCATCACAATCATCACAATCATCATCATCATCACCACCATCACCATCACTATCACCATCACCATCATCATCATCATCACCATCACCATCACCATCACCATCATCATCATCATCATCATCATCCTCATCATCATCATCAGCATCATCATCATCATCACATCGTCATCATACTCATAATCATGATCATCACCATCACCATCAACCTCATTACCATCAGCATCGTCACCCTCATCATCGACATCATCAGCATCATCACCATCAGCATCATCATAATCATCATTACTCATCACCATCACCATCATCTTCATCACCACCACCACCCTTGCCATCATCATGACCATCGCCATCACCATCACCATCACCATCACCATTATCACCACCATCATCATCATCATCACCATCATCATCATCATCATTATCATCATCATCATCATCATCATCATCATCATCATCATCATCATCATCGCCATCATCATCATCACCATCATCATCATCACCATCATCCTCATCACCATCATCGTTCCCCACATGGACACCCTGCCCAGGAACACACCCACCCACACGCACACACCTCACTATCACCATCACCATCACCATCACCATCACCATCACCATCACCATCGCCTTCACCATCACCATCACCATTACCATCACCATCACCATCACCATCTCGACCATAATAATATGAATCATCACCATCATCACCACAACCATCATCATCATCATCACCATCATCATCATTATCATTATCATTACCTTCATCATCATCATCATCATCATCATCATCATCATCATCATCGTCATCGTCATCGTCATCGTCATCGTCATCGTCATCGTCATCGTCATCGTCATCGTCATCATCATCATCATCATCATCATCATCATCATCATCATCATCATCATCATCGAAAGAGCGTGTTCTACCGCTGCTGGCGGAAAACCGGGGGGGGTCAGTACCGGTTCGAACCCCTCCCCCCCCCCCTCCAGAAAACCGGGGGGGGTCACTACCGGTTCGAACCCCTCCCCCCCCCCCCAGTTCATCATGAAAAGGGGGGGGGTCACTACCGGTTCGAACCCCTCGAACTCGAAAACCGGGTGGGTCACTACCGGTTCGAACCCCCCCTCCCCCCCCTCGAACTCGAAAACCGAGGGGGGGTGCAGACAGTGGTGGGGACGGTGGTGGTGGGGACAGTGGTGAGGGGACAGCGGGACAGTGGTGGGGACAGTGGGACAGTGGTGGGGACGGTAGTGGTGGGGACAATGGTGAGGACAATGGTGGGAACAGTGGGGACAGTGGGACAGTGGTGGGGACGGTGGTGGTGGGGGACAGTGGTGTGGGGACAGTGGGAATGTGGTGGAAACAGTAGGACAGTGGAGGGTACAGTGGTGGTGGGGACAGTGGTGAAGGCGGTGGCGAGGACGGCGGTGGGACAATGGGACAGAGGTACAGTGGGGACAGTGGTGGGGACAGTGGGGACAGTGGTGGGAACAGTGGGACAGCTCAGTGGTTCGAACCGGTAGTGACCCCCCCCTTCGGTTTTCGAGGGGGGGGGGGGGTTCGAACCGGTAGTGACCCCCCCCGGTTTTCGAGTTCGAGGGGGGGGGGGTTAAGGGAGGGGGGGGTTTGCCAGGGGAAGGGGGGGGGGGGAGGGGGTTCCAGCAGGGGGGGGGGGAACCCCGGGTTCCGGAGGAAAAGGGCGGCAATTTTCCACAGTAAAGCGGCGGTGGATCACGCTCTCTCTCATCATCATAATTGACAACATCATGCACCCGCTCACACTCACACTTCCACTCACCACCACCCCTCAGCATCATATAATCATAAGCAGCATCACCATCATCACCATCAGCATCATCATCATCGGCCTACTCCTCCTCCTCCTCCTCCTTGTCCTCTTCCTCCCCCTCCTCCTCCTCCTCATCATCATTAACACTCATCATCACCATGTACACTCACACAGCCACGTAGTCACCTTGAGGGTAGTCTCGAGCGGGAGCCCCCGTCCCTATGGGGCCCGCACGTCGTGCTGGTAGTCCGAGCCGGTCGTCGGAAACATTTTATCAGGCATAGCACTTGAGCACCCCTTGGGGGCAGATCGTGAGGATGTCTCAAGCGGAGGTCGCGACTGTGAGCGAATTGCGAGGAAGTCTCAGGCGGGAACCCCCTCCCTATGTGGCCCACACTTTATTCCCAACCCTCCCTTGGTTGGGTTCTCGTTTTGAATAGAGCACTGTGGTCTCCACCTAATCCTCTCCTCCTGCTCCTCCTTCCCCTCCTGCTGCTGCTCCTCCTCCTTCTTCTCCCGATTCCGGATCGCCAAAACGCAGCAGCCAGGTTGATACGCGGCGTTGAAATCCCGAGAGCAATATTTTGGCATGCTTCAGGATCTTCAAACGGTTGTCTTCCAACGAGGCAGCTCCCTCAACGGAAATGAACCGTTGTAGGTGCCTATGAAGAGGGAGCTTGGAGGGAGGAATAGTTCCAACATCGATGATGACTCTTGTGTTTACACTGGTCCCCCTCCTCCTCTTGCTCCTCCTCCTGATCATCATCTCTAATGCGTCCTGCATTATTCCCAACCCCTTGGTCGGGTTCTCGTGTTGAATAGAGCATTTTGGTCTCCACCTCTCCTCCTCCTCCCCCTCCTCCCGCCTCCCCCTTCTCACTCCTCTTCCTTTTTCACCCCGCCTGCCTTCTGCCTCCTGCCTCGTGCCCGCGGTTTGCGAAACTATCGCCGCTTTCGTGGGCTCCTGGGAGGTCCAGCCGAGGGGTGTCCCACGGGGGTCGCCGCGAGACCTCGCCGTCCCTGGGGGAGGTCCAGCGGAGGCATTTTTGTGGGCTCCTGGGAGGTCCAGCGGAGGGACCACCAGGAGACCTCGCCGTCCCTGGGGGGCTGCGATCTGCGAAACTGCCGCTATTGTCGTTGGCTCCTAGGAGGTCCAGCAGAGGGATGTCCCTCGAGGACCACCATGAGACCTCGCCGTTTTTGGGGGGTTGCGGCCTGCGAAACTGTCGCCACTCTCGTGGGCTCCTGGGGGGTCCAGTGGAGGTGCGTCTTATGGTGATCACCACGAGGCCTCGCCGTCCCTGGGGGGCTGCGATCTGCGAGCATGTCGCCACTTTGGTGGGCTCCTGGGAGGCCCAGCGGAGGGACCACCATGAGACCTCGCCGTCCCTGGGGGGCTGCGATCTGCGAAACTGTCGCTCCTTTCGTTGGCTCCTAGGAGTCCAGCGGGGGGGGTCACACGGGTATCACCACGAGACCTCGTTGTCCCTGGGGGGCTGCGATCTGCGAAACCGTCGCCACTTTCGTGGGCTCCTGGGAGGTTCCTCGGAGGTACGTCTTATGGAGATCACCACGAGGCCTCGCCGTCCCTGGGGGGGCTGCGACCTGCGAAACTGTCGCCTGGGAGTCCAAGGGAGGGGTGTCCCACGTACGTGGGCCACCATGAGACCTCGCCGTCCCCGTGGGGCTGTCCTGTCATAGCGCGCAGAGCGCTGTCCTGCAATGCGAACACAGCGCAAGGCGCTGCTTCTCCCACCACTTATGTCTCCAATCGTCCCTCTTCCTCATGTTTCCACGCCCCCATCGTGGTCACTCTCCTGTCAATGATTTGGCTCTTAAGAGTGACGCCACATATGTGAAACATCTTGCTTTGGCCCCACGTTCTTTGGCGAAATTGCGGATCATTCAATGGTTACTTTGGTGTTGAGCGATCCGATGTTTGTTCGCCACATGCTTACTTTTTGCATTACGAGCGGGTCGTCGGCAAACTCTACCAGGCATATCGCTTCAGCACCCCAATGGTGCAAATCGTGAGGATGTCTCCAGCGGGGGCTTCGCATGTGAGTGAAGTGCGAGGAAGTCTCAGGCTGGAGCCCCCTCCCGATGGGGCCGCACTTCATGGTGGTAATCCGAGCGGGTCATCGGAAACTCTACCAAGCATAGCAGTTGCGCACCCCTTGGCGGCAAATCGCGAGAATGTCTCAAGCGGGGGCCTCGTCTGGGAGTGAATTGCGAGGAAGGTTCAGGCAAGAGCCTCCCTATGTGGCCCGCACTTCCTGTTTGCAATCCGAGCGGGTCATCGGCAAAACCTACCACGCGTAGCACTTGAGCACCACTAGCCACATGGCGGAGGTCTCGAGCGGGAGCTTCGTCGGTGAGTGAAACGCGAAGAAGGCTCGAGTCCCTCTGGTGCCCGTACGTCACGTTGGCAGCCCGAGCGGGTTTCGGAAACTTGTAAGTGTCGTCAGTGTTGAGCTCCTCAGGCTTCAATATGGCGGAACTCTCGACCGGGAGCCTCGCATGTGAGGGATTCCGCGGGGACGTCTCGATCGGGAACCCCTCCCTATGGGGTCCCCATCTCCGTGTTCGAATCCGAACGGGTCTTCTGAAACCTGTCATTGTCGTCACTTTTGCGCTCGTCAGGCTTGGCTCCGGAGGAAGTCTCGAGCGGGATCCTCGTCTGTGAGTGACTCGCGGGGAAGTCTCAAGCGGGAGCCGCCTCCGTATGGGGCCTGCAGCTCATGGTACCAATCCGAGCGGATCTTTGGGATTTTGTATCTGTCGTCATTTTCAATCACCTCAGGAACAAGGCTTGATACCAAGGCTCCCGGACGCGGGTTCCTTTGAAACATGTTCCAGTCATTGCCAAGGCTGCAGAACAAAGGGTGATGCCAGCCTTCGCGGGCCAATTCAAGCGGGGTCACCTTTAGGAGCCCTAGAGGGCCAGTCGCTTGATATATCAGATGAGGAGGGATCGGAAAAACGGGAACGGGACCCAGGAGGCCCCGGAAGGCTCAAGGAGGCCTCAGGAGGCTCCAGTTTGCAGCAAGAGGCCCCAGGAGGAGGCAGGAGGCCCAAGGAGGAGGCCAGGGCAGGAGGAGACGGAAGCCATGATACATGAGCGACTGGAGGATCGAGGAGGCAACGGGATGCCCTAGGATTCCCCAGGAGCAGGCATGCGGCTCAAGGGGGATGCAGGACGAGGCTGGAGGAAGAGGCAGGACGAGGAGGGGGAGGAGGAGGAGGAGGAGGAGGAGGAGGAGGAGGAGGAGGAGGAGGAGGAGAAGGAGGAGAAGGAGGAGGAGGGGAGGAGGGAGGAGGAGGAGGGAGGTGGAGGAGGAGGAGGAGGAGGAGGGGGGGGAGGTGGAGGAGGAGGAGGAGGAGGAGGAGGAGGAGGAGGAGGAGGAGGAGCAGGAGGGAGCAGGAGCAGGAGCAGGCAGGAGCAGGAGCAGGAGCAGGATCAGGAGGAGGAGGAGGAGGAGGAGAGGAGGAGGAAGGGGGGGAGGAGTAGAGTAGAGGGAGGAGGAGGAGGAGGAGAGGAGGAGGAGGAGGAGGAGGAGGAGGAGGAGGAGGAGGAGGGGAGGAGGAGGAGGAGGAGGAGGAGGAGGAGGAGGAGAGGTGGAGGAGGAGGAGGAGGAGGAGGAGTGAGGAGGAGGAGGGGGAGGGTGAGGAGGAGGAGGAGGAGGACGAGGAGGAGGAGGGAGGAGGAGGAGGAGGAGGAGGAGGAGGAGGAGGAGGAGGAGGAGGACGTCGAGGAGGGGGAGCAGGAGGGGGAGCGGGAGGAAGTGGGATGTGAGAGAGGATGGGGGGAGGGAAGCAGGAGGAGGAGGAGGAGGAGGACGAGGAGGAGAAGGAGGAGGAGGAGGAGAGACCAGAGCAAGCCTTAGATGCGCCTACCATGTTTGCTGCAACACGCCTTCCCTTCCCAGGTCTCCCCGTGAGTTCCTTCACGCATGTGTCTTCTCTGCGCGAAGCACCCCCCCCCAGTGAGGACGATAGCCCCAGTGGACCCGACATTTCGGCGGGAGCACCGTCTGCAAAAGCGGTCCCTTCGAGCTGCAGGGGAATGCGACAAGACCGGGCCCTACGGGTCCAGGAACTGCGTGCCCAGCGACAGCCCCGCTTTGAAGAGGAGCCGCCTGCCGTCCATGCGTCTTTTGCACCAGTGCGGCCCGCTGGAAGTACGTACATGATCACGCCGACCCCCGCAAGCGCTCCAGGGTGAAAAACCGTGCCACAGTTGCAGTGCAGACGTTGCGGACGTTTCAGGCGAGAGCTCCATGGCGAACAGGAGCCGCCGTCTATATGCACAGCTGTCGGAGTTGTTCAGAGTGTGCGCGGCGCCATGACGAGAGCTCAAGTTTGCAAAAGATGTGCCCCCCATCCGAGTCTCTGTTTGATTTCTCAGGCGGAGCGTGCGCGGCGCCAAGGCGAGTCACCCAGTTTGATAACAGTTCGCCCTCCATCGGTGTAGCTTTTCGAGAACTCAAGCTTCAATATCGCTCGCAGTGGGGAAGACACAGGCAAAACGCCCAGGCCGCCCTAACACCCCGTTCAGCGGTGCGACAGGGAGGGGCTATCTGCGAGGAAGAGGAATGGAGGAGGAACAGCACAACAAGGACGGGCGTACCATTAGGACCATGAGACGCAGGTGGTGGAGGGGGATTATCATGGTGATGGTGACGGTGGTGATGATGATGATGATGGTGGTGGTGATGATGATGATGATGATGATGCCGATGCTTATACTTAGGCAATGCCTATGAGTATGCTGATGATGTTGGTGCTGCTGCTGCTGCTGCTACTACTGCTGCTGACGATGATGATGATGATGCTGATGATGATGCTGATGAGGATGATGATGAGGATAATGAGGATTCTGATAGCGACGATGATGCTGCTACTGTTGCTGCTGCTGCTGATGATGCGGATGATGACTATGATCTTGCTGATGATGATGCTGATGATGGCGATGATAATGCTGATGCGGATGATGCTAATGATGATGACGATGATGACGATGATGATGATGATGCTGATGATGATGATGATGATTATGATGATGCGGATGGTGACGTTGCTGATTATGCTGCTGCTGATGATGGTGATGATGATGATGATGATTATGATGCTGCAGATGATGATGCTGATGATGATCCGACTGCTGCAGTTGCTACTGTTGCTGTTGGTGTTGGTGATGGTACTGATGATGCTGCTGATGATGAGGATGCTGACGATGATAACGATGTTGCTGCTGCAGATGATGATGTTGATGGTGATGATGCTGATGATGATGAGGATGACGACGATGATGCGGATGCTGATGCTGATGCTGATGCTGATGATGCTGATGCTGTTGATGATGCTGCTGATGATGATGCTGATGATGATGATGCTGATGATGATGATGGTGCTGATGATGAGTATGATGATTATGATGCTGATGCTGCTGTTGCTGATGATGATGATGCTGATAATGATGATGATGATGATGATGATGATGATGATGATGATGATGATGATGATGATGATGATGATGATGATGATGATGATTATGATGATGATGATGATGATGATGATGTTGATGTTGATGATGATGATGATGATGATGATGATGATGATGATGATGATGATGATGAGGGTGAATCTGCTGCTGCTGAGGAGGAGGAGGAGGAGCGGGAGGGGCGGGAGGAGGAGGAGCTGCAGGAGAAGCAGTGGAGGGGGGAAGGAGGATATGGCTGACAGGGCGTTCCCGAAGAAGAGGCTCCAACTGTCCGAGCGCTGCTGCTACGACCTGCCCTACTACGGCAAGGTGAAGGGGATCCTCCTCCTCGTGGTTGTCTTCCTCGTCCTGCTCCTCGTCCTTCTCCTCCTGCTCGGCCTTATGCTTGTCGCCGCTGTCGTCGTACTCCTCGTCCTCCGCCTCCTCCTCCTGCTCTTGCTCCATGTTCTCTCTCCTTGTGCTTCTCATCCACGTCGACATCGTCGTCGTCCCTTCGGTGCTGTTTCTTGTCATCGTCGTCGTCCTCCTCTTTCTCTTACTCCTGGCTCTCCCCGTCATCGTCGCCCCGTCCTTCTCCTCCTCGTCCTACTCCTGCTCCTCTTCCTTTTACAGCTCCTCGCCCTTATCCTGCTTCCCCTGATGCTGCTCCTCCTTCTTCTTCTCCTCCTCTTCCTCATTTTCCCCCGCCTTCCCCCTCTGCTTGTCTGCCTTCGCGTCGTCGTCGTTCTCCTCTTTCTCCTTCTCCCTTGCCGCGCCGCTGCAAGGTGGAGGGGCACCGGTGGCGAGACCTCGACAACGTGTGCAACAGGCGGCCTTGTGTTGCTTCTTCTCTTCTTCCTCCTCCCCTCCCTCCGTCCCTCCCTCCCTCCCTCCCTCCCTCCATCTATCCCTATCTCCTTCCTTATTTCTCTTCTTCCTCCTCTCTCCTCTCTCCTCCTCCTTCTCCTTCTCCTCCTCCTCCTCCTCCTCCTCCCCCTCCATCCTCCATCCTCCATGCTCCATCCTCCATCATCCTCGATCCTTCATCCTCCCTCCTCCTTGGTGACTCTCGGCCTCCTCCTCCTTCTTCCTTCCTCCTCCTTCCTCCTCCTCCCTCCTCCGCGTCTTCGGGCAAACCCTTGGCGGACTCCGAGCCCCTCGTCGTCAGTGCAGAGGTTCCCTGTATGCCGCGGCCGCAGCTTAGACTCCCCCTCTCCCCAGACCCCTTCGCGTCGTGAAATAGTCGCGACGGGCGATTTTTTGCAGTTTTCGGCCAAACCGACTCAGGATGAAGACCCCGTCCCGGGGAGGGAGGAGGAGGAGGAGGAGGAGGAGGAGGAGGAGGAGGAGGAGGAGGAGGAGGAGGAGGAGGAGGAGGAGGAGGAGGAGGAGGAGGAAAAAGATTATCGCCCCGTGCCGGGCCGCGGATTCCCCCCGGCAGCCGGAGCCGACAAGGGAGAGCTCCAGGGCCGACCGCAGCGGCCGACCCTCTGGCGGATTCCCAGGCGCTCGGGCAGGATGCTTGCAGTGTAAGCTTGGCCTGCGTCCAGCGAAGACGTGGGGGGCTACCACTGCGGCCTCAATTCGGTTCGGACCTCTCGTCAGTTGCGCCACGCGCGCCATGGACCCTCAGAGAACCCGAGAGAACTCGTCACAACCAGCTCACGGCTATAGGTCAGCCGACCCCGGCTTGACGTTTTCAGTGTGAGCTCCGTCGCTGCCATTCGATGATGCAAGAACTTGCATAGCACGCAAACTTTCGGATCTCAGCGCTAATGGATCGGCGCTGGACCCCCCTCCCCAGCGCCGCCAGCGGGGCCTAGCGACGATCCACGAAATCGGCGCGGACCTCCTAAAGCTTCTGTTTACGTCGTTTGTTGTGCTCGGCTCGGGCCCCTCGTCAATCGCACCACGCGAGCCGGGAACCCTCTGATCATCCGAGAGAACGCGTCGCCACTAACGCCCCGTCGGGGAGGCGAGCAGGCAGCACTCTGGCCCTCTTCGTCTTCCTGCCTCGCAGAGGCTTTCTTTCGGCGGGCCTCGAGGCTCGGGTTCGGGGTTCGAGGTTCTAGGTTTTTTTGGGCGTTCCTGGCGGTTCTCCATCCTGGGGATGCTCTCCAGCAGCTGCGCCTCGCCGAGAGCGTTCCGGGGGTGCCCCAGTCGTCCCGAACGAGCGCAGGACGCCCGAGGCATGGCCCGAAAACCACTGGGGCCGGTGATGGGCTCAGGGGGGATGGTTTTGCTGAGGCCCCTCCCCCGTGCACCCGGCACCCAGCACCACCGCAAGGATATGGCCATCTTTTTCCAGCCTCTGGCGGGCCCGCTCAGGTTGTCCCTCTTTCCTGAAGCGTGTTCGTTCAATTGGAGGTAAGTTTGTAAGCTCACTCACTCACTCACTCCCGCACACACGCACTCCTCTACGTACATCCCCCCTCCTCCTCCTCCTCCTCCTCCTCCTTCTCCTCCTTCCCCTCCTGGGAGATCCTCCTTCTCATCAGCATCGCCCTAGCCGTCAAGACCCTCGTCAGTATCATCATCGTCATCACCATAATCAGCAATATCAGCACTGTCGGCTGCAACAACATAATCATCACCGCCAATGTCATTATTACCGTCACCGTCGTCATCATCATTATCATCATCGTCATCGCAATCGTCATCACCACCCCCTGCGACGCAACAAGGAGGAGGAAGAGGGGGAGGAGGAGAAGGAGGAGGAGGAGGAAGTGGAGGAGGGGGAGTGCGAGGCACCAGCGATAGCGATGAGGGAGGATGGCGAAGGAAAGGATGGATGGAGGCAGGAGGAACGGCCTCTCTACTGGACGTGCAGAACCATCCTCCTCCTCCTCCTGCTCCTCCTGCTCCTCCTGCTCCTCTTGCTCAGTGACTGGGGGCGGCGGACCAATCCAATCCTACCCGCCCCTCCAGGGCGCCAGGCCTCTGGGGCGCGGAGAAGAAGAAAACGGCATGCATACAGGTCGGCCACGCGCAGAGAAGGGGGAGGGGGGAAGGCTTCTCAGAAACACCCCTGCTTCTCAGAGAGCGCGGGCCTTGTCTATAGATGTAGGACCAGCACCTTCTAAGAAGCATCCTCCGTCTAAGGAGCCTTCCCCCCTTCCTCTGCAGTCAACCCGCATAGTCAGGATGAGCGACTTTCCAGGGTGACCCTCGCATCCTTCCCCTCTGGCCCATCCTTGGCCGCTTTCGCTGGCCGCGCCCTGCTCGCACAGTGTCCACATGACCTACCAAGGCCCTTGCATCCTCATCGTGTGTCCGTATCACTCAGACCCCCGACGCCATGATTTTTTCATGACGTCGACCCCCAGAGGTCTCGACCCATTCCCTGGGACCGGTTTTGCATCCCGAGCCGTTTTTTAAGGGTCCCGAGGCCCGGTGAGGGCCCCCGGAGGCCGAAACCAGTGGAAAACTTCCCGTCGTGATTTTTTCATGGCCCGAGGGGGTCTGGGTATCCGGGCGGACTGTGCCCGCTTGTGCGCGCCGCCAGCACACACGCTGGCGGCGCCTCCGGCGCCGCCCCTGGCGCGCTCCGCGCGCCGTTGGTCTGCCTTGAGGGGCCGCGCAGGGCCCGCGAGCCGCAGCGCCTGGGCCGAGTCTCGGGAGGTCGCGCGAAGGAGCCACTGGCCGCCCGATGTATCCCGACGGCATCTTTGCAGGGCTCACTCCAACTCCTCGGATTCGATCCGATTTCATTTCGATGGCCTCCGATTTCGATTCGATTCGACTTCGGATTCCGATCTGGGTTCCGATTCCTCACGGAGGCCTTACTACTCGGCCGATTTCAGCCGATTCGACTTCTCCCGACTTGGCTGCCGATTTCCGCCGATCCGATTAATTTCGATCGCCGATTCGACTTATCGATTTGATTCTCGGCTCTCCTGTAGTTGTCTGGGCCGAGCAAGTGATCGGCCAATATGGGGCGTTCCAACAAACAAGGGCCTTGCCTTCGAGGATCGATGGAGTTACCATTTCTTCCTCGGCGGAAGGCGGTGGAAAGCCGGCGGAAGGCGGCGGAAGTAAAACGAGGCCGCCTCCGCTGGCGAGAGCCGGCGGAAGCGGGCGCCCACGAGATGACAACATTTTTGAGCTTAGGGTTGCCGAAGGAGGAGGATGAGAAGGAGGAGGAGGTGGAAGCCGAGAAGGACCAGGCCTCAGAGGAAATGATCGGCCCAAACGGCCAAAAAATCGGCCAACGGATCGGCAGGTCGGCTCGTGTAGCGATCCCAGTTTGCCTGGCGGTCTTCTGCCTCACGCTGCTGTGCCAGTCACGCCGTGATGTGATCCAGTGAGCGCGCGCTCCCCACCTCTCATCTCCTCGCGGGGACAATCATCGGCCAGAACATGTGTCGGTCCCAGCTTCTGTCGTGTCCGGCTCTCGCTCCTCGGAGCGGAGCGGCGCAGTCGGGCCGTGCACTGCTTCCCCTCCCCTCCTGGAGATCCTGCGCGCACGCGCCGGCAGGAGGGAGCGCCAGCGCCATTTTAATTGAGGCCAGTCCGAGGAGGCGACGTGGCCGCGGAGAGCTCACCCGAAGCGTCTGGCAAAAATAAGCTATCCCAGTCACAGGCTTGAGGTCGGCCAGTTGTTGTATTGAAGGGTTGCGCGCGCGATCCTTCCCACTCCAGAGGCTCTCGAAGGATGCATCTGATCGGGCACACCTGTGCTTACATTCGACCAGACGACCACCGTACCGTGACTCACGGCCAGACTCCCGCTCGAACACCTATCTGATCTTCAAATCCGTGCGGGGGGGGAGGGCACCACGCCCCCAGTGACCGTGGACCAGGACCTGCAAGCATGCCCACGAGACCTGATGGAGAATTTTCGTCTGCTCTTCCAGCGCCGAGCGAGTCGACTAGGTCACCGCGCTGGCCACCGTTTGTGCAGCAGCGCCACGGTCGCCGAAAACGTCGGCTCGGGCATTGTCGAGCCAATCCTTCAGCCCCAGGGCCGATGCCGGCGCGTCGCCGAGGCCATCATGGGCGCAGGTCCAGCAAACGTGCATTGGCGTCAGATCTGGTCCGCGGAGGCTCTGTTGGCGGGGGGCGCGAGGCTCCTCAGCGCAGAAAGAGAGGGAGGAGGATCGGATCGGAGCGAACAGGCCAATGAGCTTGAACGAAGCCGCAGCGATGTCTGGTGCAGCCAAACTGCCACAATGGCCAGGTATCGAACACAGAACAGCACTTTAGGTTGTATTGCTAGCCGCCCTACGCAGACAACAAGCGAAAACTCCAAGGGAGGAGGAGGAGGAGGAGGAGGAGGAGGAGGAGGAGGAGGAGGGAGGAGGAGGAGGGGGGAGGCATGAGTAGCAGTTGTATGGCAACGGCATTTCCCCATCTACCCCCTCACCCATTCTGCCTCCCATCGACCCCCTCACCCACCCCATTTTTTCTCCCTCCTCGTCGTCCTCGTCCCCGTCCTGCTCCTCCTGCTCCTCCTCCTGCGAGCGCCCAGTCGCGCGGAGTCCTGCGCAAGCCGCGCAGGCAGCGCTGCTGGGCGGTGATAGTGGAGCTGGAGAGGCGGGGTTTCGCGTGCGAGCTTGTGGGCGGCTTAGGTGACCGCGATCTGGAGGGAGGGGGAGGAGAAGGAGGAGGAGGAGGAGGAGGAGGAGGCGGAGGAGGAGGAGGAGGAGGAGGAGGCGCAGGAGGAGGAGCACGAGGGGAAGATATGAAGCAGGGGCCAGTCTGCCTCGCCCCGCCCCGGGCGACGCGCACCGCCTGGGACGTGGAGCCACCGCGCCCCCCCCAGGAAGCCGACTGCGCGGCGCTCGCCCTGTGGGAGAGGGGGTCCTTCGAGTAGGAGATCGACTGCAGTCGAGCCGGCGTCTTGGAGGCCGCTTCATCAGTATTGGGGCCATGATGTTTGTTTTTGAGCTCTCCTCGGCGTTTTGGAACCCAGCTTGAGCCAGCTGCGATGGTATCGTGTGCATCTTGGAGGCCACGGAGTGTAGACTTGGAGGCCCCGGAGGATCCATGGGTGCGTTTGGGAGCCTGGGGGGCCAGAGTTTCTGAACCAACTTGCCGGCAAGCTGGCGCAGTCTCTTAAGCACGCTCGCCCCTTCCAGCGCTGACAACATGATTTTGCCTGGGCTTGTTTCAGGAAACCTACGGGAAGCTGGCACAGATAGCTTCAATGATTGAATTTGCGGCTGTATCCCAACATAGGTTTTCTCGTCGGATCAACGAGGAATTCGTGGCATGATCCGAAGATGTACAGAATATTACACGGATATTTCGCAGGTGCGACGACGCACACACACACACACAATTTTGGGGTAAATGAGCTTTGTAGTCGATCCCCTATTCGAGTTCTGAGGGAAAAGGGCGGGTGCTATATCTGGGGGTTTTCTCCAGGACGGGTCCCGGACATGCCCGCGCCGTGGAAACCTCAGGACGGGAGGTTCTTGACCCTTTCTGGCTGCTGGGGGCCCTCACTGGGCCCGGAGGCGTCAAAAACGGCTCGGGATAAAGATTATCTCAGTGCGACCCTACCTAGGAGTTGGAGCCCCTAGGAAAGCAGCATTAGTAGTAACAGTATAGCTAAGCTAAAGCGAAGCTAAAGCTAAGCCAACGCTAAGCTAAAGCTAAGCTAAAGCTAAGCTAAAGCTAAGCTAAAGCTAAGCTAAAGTTAAGCTAAAGCTAAGCTAAAGCCAAGCTAAAGCTAAGCTAAAGCTGGATAAAGCTAAGCTTAAGCTAAGCTAAAGCTAAACTAAATCTAAATTCAAGCTAAGCTAAATCTAAGGTACATCAAAGCTAAATCTAAGCTAACGCTAAGGTAAATCTAAGCTAACGCTAAGGTACAACTAAGCTAAAGCTAAGCTAACGCTACGGTACATCTAAGCTAAAGCTAAGGTACAGCTAAGCTGAAGCTAAGCTAAATCTAAGGTACAACTAAGCCAAAGCTAAGCTAAAGCTAAGGTAAAGCCAAACTAAATCTAAGCTAAAGGTAAGCTAAAGCTAAGCTAAAGGTAAGCTAAAGCTAAGTTAAAGCTAATATACAGCTAAGCTAAATGTAAGATCCAGCTAAGCTAACGCTAAGCTAAACCTAAACTAAAGTTAAGCTAAAGCTAAAGCTAAAACTAAAGCTACAGCTAAAGCTAAAGCTCCCAGGGGACTGGGGGAACCGCGGGGCGGATCCTGGGGGAACCGCCCGGGGCGGGGAGCACTGCCTGGCCCCTTTAAGCAAACACAGTAAGAACCCTTCTAGGCAGAGCCTAGGAAGGGAAAAACGCTCCAGGGGGGAAGGGTCTGGACTTCAGGGGACTGCGTGTTGAAAAAACACGACATCGCATGTTTGGGGTTCTGCCTTTCCTCTGTGCTCGCCGGCCAATTCGCTAGCTAGTGCCCCTATCTGGCTTCACGCTGGAGCGGATTTCGCCGCCTCGCCGCTGACGAGAGGAACAACTGCTTGGGGCTCTGCCGCCCCGAGCCGTCTTGTGGACGGTCCTGGGCCCGCGGAGGGCCCCCCCCCCGGGGGCCCGAGCGCGGAGGGGACCCTCCAGGCCCCGCTCCTCCGGGCCTCGCCTCCTTCGTGTTGGCACTCCGCGCCCGTGAGACGCCCTCGGCGCGTCGGGCTGTGAGAGCCGGCGGGCGGGCGGCATCGGGCCGGGTCGAGGGTCGGGCTGGGCCGTGAACCGGGGGAGATGCGGAGGGTGGGGAGGCGGAGGAGGAGGAGGAGGAGGCGGAGGAGGAGGCGGAGGAGGAGGAGGAGGAGGGGGAGGAGGGAGGGGGAGGGGGAGGAGGAGGAGGAGGAGGAGGAGAGAGGAGGAGGAGGAGGAGGAGGAGGAAGAGGAGGGGGAGGGGGAGGTGGCCTGGCCGCTGGGCCTGGGCCTGGGCAGGTGGAACACTATCCCAGGAGAGAGCGGGCGCCCAGCGCCCTGAAGCGAGCCCTCGAGGCGCGGGAGAGCGCAGCTGGAGCGCGTCTAGGCTGCTCCGAGGCCGTGGGAACTTCCCGCGTGCCCCAGTGGGGTCGGCCCGCCTCTGTCCCGCTTGGGGATGGCTGGCTGGCTTCGGCGCTGGCCTTGTGGATGCGCGCCCTGGAGTGGGTGGGCGTTTCTTTGAACCTCGCAGATGGAGGCCCGCCGCCAAGCTGTCCGATTCGGGCGGGACATCTCTCTGGCGCAGGAGAGTGATCGCGATCCCGTGAGATTTCAGTTCTACAGTTTCCTTTTTCCCGGCCCGCTTCCTCCTCCGATTAGCTCCTCCCTCCTGTTGCACACATCCTCGAAGGTACGCTTTGAGACGAACTGCGGGCATCACGCTCGCTTAGCACATTCGTGCGTGTGTGTGGCTGGGGGGCAATTTGTAGTGGCAGTGCGAATATGTTCGCTGTGCTGGCTGAGAAATGATAACACGTGATGGGGCTGTGTGTTTTATCAGGTGTTTCTTGTCCTCCCGCACGACTCGTGCTGGGTCAAGAGCCAGAATCCGGTGTCGAGTTTTTTCTCGTACTCTGGACCCTGGGAGGTCTGGTCCCCTTTCCCAGTTCTGGGTAGTTTTGCTGACTGTCCCCGGGCCGGTTGTAAGACACCGTCCGTAGTGCTTCTTCACAGCGCGAGGAGGAGGGGGAAGGTCCCAAAGTCGACTCCGCCCCCCTCGCCCGTCTGAGGAGGGCGATGTGGACTCTGGGCTCGTCCTCTCAGTGGGGCTCGGGCTGGACTGGTCGGCGGGCGAGCAGGCGTCACCAGGACCTTGCCGCCGCCGCCACCGCCACCGCCACCGCCGCCGCCGCCGTTGTCGTCGTCGTCGTCGTCGTCGTCGTCGTCGTCGTCGTCGTCGTCGTCGTCGTCGTCGCTTCGTCGTCGTCGCTTCGTCGTCGTCGCTTCGTCGTCGTCGCTTCGTCGTCGTCGTCGTCGTCGATTCCGACTCCGTGCCGATGCCGATTTTCGCTCCGATGCGATCCGATTTCCCGCTCTCCGATGCCCGCCGATCCTGGCCCGCAGGCCGGCCCCCGTCCGGCCTCCCGCCCGCCCGGACCCGAACAGCGGACTCGAGACGATCGGCATCGGTACGGAAAGGATGGAGGGAGGAGGAGGAGGGAGGAGGAGGAGGAGGAGGAGGGAGGCGGAGGAGAGAGGAGGAATCAGGAATCAGGAATCAGAACAGTTGCGAAGCAACATCCACAAGAGAGAAAACCCTCACTCCGAGCCTTGTGCCTTCGGTGGGAGACCTCTCAAAAACCGATCGATATAATCCCGACGGGTGCGAGTGATCAGATCGGGGCGGCACGGGTTGGCGAGAGATCGGAGCTGGTCCTTCCCGTAAGCCCCACACTCCCTGCACAACCATGCACGCACTGTTTGGGAAAAAACCATTATGTGAGACACATGCGCCCATCCCCCGCCGACGTGGACCCCACACCCAGACCCAGGACGTGACAGCACGTCATTAATGAAATGGGGCGCCTCACAAGCAGAGGCAAGCCAGGCCGTCCGAGCGGCCTTCGACGACGACGAGAAACAGCGAGAGCAGCGTGCGCCTGAGTCGTCCAGCACGTGCCCCGTGCTGAACGTGGCGACGGCTGCGGCCGAGGGCGGCCGCGGGGGGGGAGGAGGAGGGGGAGGAGGAGGAACATCTCCTTCACCGACCTGCGGGGCGGAAAGATGACGATCGGGCCCAGTATTTTGCACAGCCATAGCAGCTAGCTGAGCCCTCATAAGTCTCTTCCGAACCAGAGCCGCTTTCCATTCGATGTCCCGTACTCTCGCCCTCTGCCCTTCAGTGACCCTCCACTCCTTGGCCGCCTCTCCAGCAATCTCGTCGGCAACGGCGTTGCCAAGCAAAAATTGAAAGGGCACACCTCTCTCTGACGCTTCAACGGTGTCAAGATGAGACGGCACCCAGATCACGGTGATGAAAGACGGGTCACGATTTTCCAAAAGCTTCCCAATCTCCCTCCAGATAGGACCTAACTCACCTTGTGGGTTCCGATAGGCTCTACTGTGCCAACCATCAACAACTGCACGATTGTCTGAAACGTAAATAAGCACACCACTACTGAAACGTATAGCCACTTCGAGGCCTCGCAACTCTCCTCGAGGAACTGTCTGAATATCTCCGACAAGTGGTCCTGACATAGAGGGCCCAATGACTAGAGGCTCATAGCTCCTAAGCGAGACTACCGAGAGCCCCACACGCCTAAGATGCTCGTCACGAGACTCGGGCCCCCCAGACGCGTCCCCGAAGAGGACCAAGGGGGCCTCCCAAGAGCCCGCACCTAAGCACCCAAGGCCTATGGAGCCTTCTGGGGTCCCTAAGAGCTTCCAAGCCTCGACCTGAGAAGGTGGGTCCACGACCGTCCACTGCTTGGGAATGATGCCGCGATACCAAAAGCACGGGGTGGCATCTCCCTGAGAAATAGCTTGGCAAACTAGCTGGTCTGTTTCTTCAAAGACTGGGTGACCAGTGTTGCACTTGCATAGCCAGTACCGATGCCGAGGGGTTTCTGGCGCTTCATGACATCTTGCACAGGTATCGTCCGTGATGAGACCTTCTTCTTTCCTCCGAGATAGTGGCCAGGAACCCCCGACACAAATATTCAAAAGGACTTCAGCCAACTGACGTCCCTTCTTGACCGTCTCCAACCGCAAGAGAAGGGCACGCAAGGATCGATTGTCAGCGCCGCCTGCGAGTCCCTCGCCACAAAAGTGCCGTGCAGCATCCTGCCACAGGAGGCTGGCGTTGGCACAAGCAAAATCACTCAACATGTCCTGGGCCTGATCTATCGACTCGAGCGACTCGTTAAACTGCCAATCGAAGTTAATTTTATCGTTAGCCTCAGGAACATGCCATAGATCGGGCGCAACTGGGTCCCACCCGACACGAAGAAGACTGGCAATGACTGCGCTCAAAGGCCCACGAACGCGGCGAGCAAACTCGGGGAGCTTCAGCGCCTTAAATTGCTCAACTGTGGCCGGCCACGCTCGACGAATGCCCGATCGATACTGAGAATCATAAGTCCAAACCTTCATCCACTCCTTCATAGTTGCTACTGGAAGACTAATACCAGGATCACGACCTGGAGTACGAATATCTAGTAGTGAAGTAAGGCACCTACCCTTCTTCGACGCACCTACAACCGAGCCAAGACGTCGCCGTAAAGTCAAAAGCTGCGTGCCGAACGCACCGTACACCTGCATGCCGTAGGTGGATACTGCCTGGGGGCCTGCGAGCTCGACTTTCTTAGTGACCTGATAGCGCCGTGCTGCATGTGCATACCGCCGAAGTTTCTGGTTTTGCGTGCCCCCTTTGATCACCCTCTGCCTCCTCGTCTGCCTGGCCAACCTCTTACCCATCCCTTGATCAACTCCTAAGTAGGCTGCTTGCAAAACGGGCTGCACATCTATACCCCGAAGCTTCAATTGTTTGACTGCTGTCTTGGCCGTGCCGTGGTGCGAGCACAAGACGACGCTCTTGCTGGCCAGCTGGAGTCCGTGCTCCCGAAACTCGGCGGCAGCCGTCGTAACACTGGTGACGAGCGCAATCAAAACCTGCTTCCGTGAACCCACAGTGGACATGCTCAAGTCGTCTATCCATATGCGCATGCGTTCGCTCATGCTCGGGTTGGCTATCGTCAGCTTCTGCAACACATAATAGGTCATACATCGTGCGAACCGTGTGCCACTGCGCAAACCTTGTACAACACTACGTGTAGGCTGAAAGCATTCCGAATAGGCGCCAAGCTGAGAGAGAACACGTGGGGCAAGACAAACTTGGAGTTCGAGAAACAAGAGGACAGGAGGAAAATTGAGGCGTAAGGCCGCTTGGATAAGTTTCGGCCAGCTGATCTGATCATAGAAGCTCTTAATGTCAAGAATAGAGGTGCCCACAGTACCGCCTAGCTTGACCGCAAGCTCACTGTCCAAAACACGAATGAATGCTTCCCTGAGTGCACTGTTACCTGCCACCGCCGCATCCCATGATGGTGACGTATCTGATGTCCACGCCTTCGCATGGCACTCACGAGCAAGACTCCACACCCGACAGAGCATGGCCACAAGCCCGATAACTCGATCGCCCCCGCTTTTCTTAGCAAGTAACCTGCCGATGACGATCAAGGATTGCCATGGCCAGGTTAGGGAGGCCTCGATAGCGGAAAAGAGGTTCACGAGATCTTCGATAGCACAATCGGGGAGTCGTTCAAAGTCTAGTGGGGATAAGCGATCGATACCCATCCCAGCACGAGCTTTCATACGTTTGAGAGCCCCTCGGACGTCGTCGACTGTCAGCGGAGGCATCTGATCAAAAACTGCCGCATCGCGCACCTGGCCTAGGAGAGCGTCGAGCTCCTTTAAATCTAGATCAACTTCACGCCATAAGCTGTGCCAGCCTTTTACTTTGGCGTCGATGAGATCCTTGGGGTTGAAGAGCCTAGTGCCTGCCACGACGAGCTCCTCCGAGGCCTGGGGGACCTGCCTGAGCGACTTGTGGATGATACCTAACGACGACTCTCCCACGATCCACTCCTGGAATTGCCTCAACGACGCGTGGACGGCTCTCCCCCTCGCTCTTCTGGAAGCCTTCTGGGCGAGGTCCCTGTACAGCTCCCAAATCGGTAAGCCCCAAGACTCCACCTGCCCCAAGAAGCAAACCCATTGAGACCACATAGGTGCCCCATGAGTACTCGGGATGACCGTATGAGCCCCATCAGGAACATCATGAACCAGAACGCGACAAATATGAGCTAGCTTTGGGACCTGCTCAACCCCATTGCGCCGTTGCCTATGACGAGCGAGACGCACAAGCACTGTGTGAAGCCTAGCCCACCATCCTGCGATGACGTCAGACAAGGGCTGCACTCTCATGTGCTCAGCGCGCTGCACCACTTCGACAGTCAACAGAGGTCCTTCTGCCCGCGAACGCCCTGCTGCAGCGGACTCGTGCTGCTCAAGAATGGTAGCTTCGGCAATACTCACCCATGTGGCAAACATTCCACTGACAGCTTGAATGTGAGGACCCCCTGCAGAATAAGCTAAAGACGCACGGATAACTTCCCAAACATCAGACTCGTGACTGGCGATGTATCCGATCCTGTCTTTGTGCTTCGTCCAGAGGTCAGCCGAGATGTGGAAAGAGGGAGATTGGGGAGGAGTGGGACTGCCTACAGTGCTGTCATCGTCCTTGGGGGGTGCGGGGATCTCGGCGAGGGGAGCTGCCTCTTTTGTCGCATCGGGCGCAGGAGCCCTAGGCGCCGACTGATTGCCAAAATCCGACTCGTGAGCCCATGGGTCAGGCTCGTCTTCAAAATCGTCGGGAGGCTCGAATTGAAAAGGATCTTCTTGGGCCCGCGTTTCGTCCGAAGGACCGCCCGTGGCCCCCGAGGCCTCCGAGGCCTGGGAAGCCGACTGGTCCTGGGACGGATCCTGGGGCCGCTCGACGTTCAGCAAATCCCAGAAAAACTGAACGCAGGCATCCTGAAACTTGGCTTGAGACAGCTCGCGGGCCTCTTGACGGGCCCGTTTGGCTTTCTGCGATTTACTATTGGCCTGGGGAAGAACGCTCGGCCGTGAAACCTGAGGGAGCTTGTGTGGTACGTGTAAAGCCCTAGTGAGAAGTTGTACCCCTTCGCTCCTCAGAGACAGACTGATCCCACAGTGCGTGCCCCAAGGAACGTCTAAAACCGCTTCCACTTGCTCTACGTACGGACGTGCTGCCCTGCTGGCCAAAGCGAAATCAATGTGAGAATTAC